CAAAAAAAAAAAAAAAAAAAATCATTAAGAAAAAAAAAAACTACTGAAATTGCACAGCCGGTTCTTTATAGTAGTCTCTAAGTTCTGCAGTTGCCTCTTATCTCAGCCAGATTTTGAAGAAGCAAGCCAGCAATGTTTTTGAAGTCTTAAATCTGAAGTTTGGATATGATTGTTTTTTTTCTTGTCTTTTTAATGATAATCACAACAACAGCTTTGGTCGCTGACCCAGTATGACTCCCATTCTCAGGTTTAGGACAGGTGTGCGCGCTGAAACAATAGCAAGAGAAAGTAGGAGGGCTGTGAAAAGATAACTCACACATAGGTTTGAGTTGTCCGATGAGCTCCTCCTTGCTCCACTTGGCCCACTCCTTCCTGTCTGTGTTGATAGAGCAGAGAACAGGGCCGCATGGCTTCCCGCTATCGTCCACTGCCGGAACATTCAGATAGTGCACCAGCACGATGTCTGGATTCTACAACACAGCAACGCACATCTCATTGGTAAAACATGGCCTTTATTTTTTGCTCATCTATCTCGGTAAGCAAGAGAGACTGTTGATACAGTGTATTTGCAGAAGGAGGGGGGAAAAGGACACGGAAAGCAGAGGAGTATGTGGAGGTCAGGAGGGAGGTCGGATATAGCGTGTCAGACAAGATTCTCTCACCTGCCTATAAAACATTTAACAGCGCGAGCCCACTCACCACTCTCCCTCAGATTGCAGGGCCAGCAGAAACGTCCATACGTGTGCTTGTGTGCATGCGACTTAGAGAGTGAATTAACGAAACGGGGGATGAGCGGGTCAGCACGGAGCTCGCCATGCAGTTGCCCACGAGCAGGCCTATGGAATTGATATCCCATGAATGATTCAACAAGTGTGTATGTGGCTGGTGGGTGGGAGTGTGTGTGTGTGTGTGTGAGAGAGAGAGATAGAGAGAGAGACAGAGGGAGACAGAGAGAGAGAGAGGGGCTCCTCTTGATAAAAGATTCAGTAGACAGACTCAGGTGAGGGGGAGGGCGTGCTGAGGTGGAACAAGAAAATGGCACAGTGGGCTGCTACAGCATCACACTGTGCAATGCAACAGAAGAGACAGGCTCATTTATGATCATATTCACTGATGTGATGTGATATATGTGCAAAGAGCAGAAAATGGCACATTACAGATCGAGGAAGCAGAAGTTCCCCTGCCAATTTTAGACTCAGAGAGTCACAAGGGAGTCAAGTGCGCCCGGGAAAATAAAATATATTTGATAGGGGGCAAATTCAATTTACAGCATGTGGCGAGAACGTCCTTGTAAAATTCATGTGACAAATTATGCAAGACCTATTGGCAAGGAACGCATGAATATGTATTGGATTTCCATATTCCGAATGAACATCGTTGGGCGTTCAATATTTGCTTGGAAATGAAGGGAATGTTTAAGATTCAACATGTAGGCCTGGAGATGATGAGGTTCTGGTGACCCGCTCTTTGCTTGGCCAATCAATGGAGGGATGTGTGTGTATGTGTGTGTGTGTGTGTGTGTGTGTGTGTGTGTGTGTGTGTGTGTGTGTGTGTGTGTGTGTGTGTATTTCTTTCACATGAGTTGTGGGGACGGAGGGGGGTGTCTAAAATCTATACGTGCCGAATGTATATGTGCATGTTGTAAGTCGCTCCAGGGTGTTTTCAGGGAGAGGACCACATAGAGAGTAGCGCCTTCAGACTTTGATAGGTAGCGCAAGTGAGGAATAGCTGGAAAAGTTCTAGAGGAGAAAAGTTTTCTCCGCAAAGCATGTTCACATAATACCAGATATATCCTGAGTGGGACGATAAACCCAGCAATGGCGTCCAGTTTTATGATTACCCCGACTTTTTAGTACAGTCTGCCTCATTAAATTTTGAAGAGGAGGATGTTTATCAATGGTTTATGTTGGAGGTTACTGTGCTGTTTGGAAAATGTAATGGACAATTTAAGAGATTAAACATGTGGTGCGTAAAATTAACAATATACTATACCGTTTCTGGTGGTTTAGTTTGGTGTCGAGATGTGAATTAAATCTTAACATAACATGCTCGGAGACGAAATCCGCTTGGAGCCAAAGCAACGTGGCCCGCGAAACGGCTAACAAAAGGCAATCGTCACTCGATGTAAATTATCCCTCGCCGCGATAGCGTCTTCTTGTTTTAATGTAGAGAAGCTGGGAAAGGGGCGGGTGGCTTACCTGCAGCAGCCAATAGCATCTACGGTGGAAGGTGGGGATGATGGAGGAGTGGACGTAGCAGGTTGTGGGGGGGTGGGAGAAAAGAAAATGGAGGGAGCGGGACACAAGGAGAGGATGAGGTGAGGACGGCAAAGGAGAGAACAGCAAAGGAGAACTCAGGTTATAGCCACTTAGGTCGTTTTCATTTAGGAAGCTAAACATGCCGTTGTATTTCCGAAAAGGTCCTTCATCAGATGTTGTCGACTTATAAGATATCAATAGTTGGCACCGGCGTCCATGTATAAATATCGCCTGAGGATCGATATGTGGCCCCTGCTCTGGCTCCTGCGGGATTCCCCTCGCGGATGGTTGAAGTGGTCTTCTCTCAAGGTCATCGCATACAGCACATTTGTACATACAGCAGCGGTGAATACTTGGGATGCAGGATGTAAAATAGCGACATCAAAAGTCTGTTCTGTTTGCTGTCTCATTCGCACTCTCATTTTCTTGCCATTTTGCCTCTTCTGAGAAGAAGCCCGCCGGCTATCTAAAGTGTGTTTGGCCAAAGGCAGAGTGCATTTCCATATATTTCCATCTGATATGAGCAGGCTCTCAATCCAGGGATGTGTTTTTCCTCCCCGGCTTCCTGCCTGCCTCCTCCTCTCCCACTGCTCCGCCATTCCTGCCCCCTGCGCGACACAATGCTTTCTTGCTTGAGGGGTCCCGGGAAGAGGTGACACAAACAATTACTGAGCAACTACCGGCGAGAGAAACACTTGCCTTTGGATGTGTGTGTCGGTGTGTGTTTGTGCACGGCAGCAGAAAAATGCATGTCAGATGATTGTCAGCGTGAGTGTGGGGTTGTAAATAATAGAGGTGCAGATGGGAATACTTGATCTCAATTATTCCCTTTGCCTATGTCTGCTGTTCATTTATGCACAGCGAGTGAGCCTTCCGTACACATCCATGTGCTGCCTCTCGCTGTCGCGCCTTTTTGCTTTCCAATCTCCCTCCCGTCTTTCTCTCTCTCTCTCTGACACATGCATGCTCACCGCTCTCACCTCTTGGTACATTCCTGCTGAATAATCAATTTTTGAGCTGGCTGATGTGACTCAAGCACGCACACGCACACGCGGGCGCACGCACAGACGCTGCCTTGAGACTGGATCGATACCCCTCTCTGTTCTGCTGAAGAAGGCATTGACATCATTCCTGGCTGCAGGCCAAACGCACTCTTATCCTTCAGAAAGAGAGAGAGAGAGAGAGAGAGAGAGAGAGAGAGAGGAAGGGAGACAGGGACAGGGGCAGGAGCAGGGAGAGCGAGGAGGAGGGACGTCTCTCTCTTTCTCTCTCTCTCTCACACACACACACACACACACACACACACACACACACACACACACACACACACACACACACACTGCACACGGGGAGACTGCTCTCAGCCCGGTAGCTCCAGCATGCATGTGTTTGCGCGTGCCCTCGCGTTTACACGCGTGTGTCTACAAGGAGTGAAGGAGTGACTAACGGAATGGATTGGATTGGCAGCGAAGCACAACTCAGCACAAAAAGAGATCACAGACGTGTTTCTTCTGCATGGCGGCCTCTCACCTCCACACCCTGGACTTTGAGCTTCATGTGATCCTCTCGGGTGGTCTTCCCGTCTTTCCTTTTCTTCCAGCAGTACCCATCTTTCCTGTACTTCACCTTCTTGCGGTTGTAGAGGATCATGGAGCCATTTTGAGGCCTGTTTGGAAGGGGGAGAGCAAAGTGTTGAAACGGGGGCACGAGATGTGAGAATTAGTTTGACGGAAGAGTGTAAATATTGCGCAACATGGACAATTTGGATGGCTTTGATGTTGTCAGCATTTCATTGCTCAGTGACGTGGAAACGATCCAATGTTATTGGCAAAGAATGTCAAGGTCACTGTCCCAAATTCAACACGCACAGATGCGATGGAGACTGCCCTGTGTGTTAATATTTAAGTAGGTCCATCCATTAACACAGGACAAGCATTAACTTCTGAGCCCATGCTATATACATACAATTAGCAACAATTAATCGATTAATTGACATCTAATGTATTATAAGGGGCGGCCCGGTAGTCGAGTGGTTAGCGCGTCGACTTCACAGTGCAGAGGGACAATTTGGAGTGTTCAATCAGCCTGCCATGCATGTTTTCGGAAAGTGGGAGGAAACCGGAGTAGCCGGAGGAAACCCACGCAAGCACGGGGAGAACGTGCAAACTCCACACAGGAAGGCCGGAGCCGGGATCGAACCCTTCATCTCTGCACTGTGAGGTGGACCCGCTAACCAGCAATGACCGACGTTTTGGCCTAATTTTGTAGATACTGATGTACAAAACCAGTAACCAAATCACAGGTAATTTCTGTCAATTTGAAATACTGTCATGTTTTTTAATCAAGGCATGCAAATTTTAAAAAAAGCTTTTAAAAATCGTATTCATCAATTAATCAACAGATGAATTGATTATCAAATGATTTGTTAGTTGCAGCCCTACATTCAATATCACAAAAAGTATGAAGACACATCTATTAATCAATAAATTAATGAGAGGTTGGACTAGCCCCCTTATGCCACTTTGCATGCACTACGGCTCCGCTCATTTCATTTAGCCTCAGCTTAACACTTCAAAATAGTACCGCGAAGAACAATGTGAATACCGAGCCAAAATTACATCGGCCCACACCAACAAACAACAACAATGGAAGTGAACAAAGATCTGCCGTAGTTACTCCTCAGGCTGGGGTCAACTCACCAGCAAAGTCAGATTTGTATTTTCTTTTCTTTTTCTTTTACTGCTTTATCTCATCTCAGTGTCCTGGGAAATTCCCTCTGGCGTTTGAACCACTATCAGAGATGGAACGCCACTGGTTGCGATCAAAGCGTTCAACACATGGGCCTCACTGTCCTCATCTCATTGTGTCGAAAGCAATTGCCTCTGTTCCACTGACCTCGCCGCGCATTTCATTATTTTAATGGGGTAATCGCATCAGTTGTATAAACGCGCGGTGTCCGTCTTCTGCGAGTTCCGTCTGGAAGGCGCGGGTTATGGCTCTCTGACGCGCCTCTTTACAGCGAATGCAGTGAAAGCGGCTATGCTCGACACCGAGTTGATGAAGCTAACTGAGCAAAAAAGAGGATATCAGTCGATTATCCCCTTCCTGCTCCCTGTAACCTGATGACCATGAGAAGCATGTCCACTGTAGTAACCGCTGTCCCTGAAAGGGTTAAATGTCACACAGGAGGTAGAATATATGCAGTGGCGGGTCCTGAATTAGGCACCTGGGCCTTCAGTCGGTACTTCTTTATCTCTCATTCCTACCACTGTCAGGTCGTAACTATAGAAACGAAACCAACAATATTATCCAAAAAAAAAGTAGAATAACAGCACATTACTGTGCCGCGTACATTGACTGGAGCACTATTGGAAGATTAGATTGACATGGCACACAGTGAAGCGGAAATCTGATTGGACAAAAAAAAAAAATAAAAAATCCAATTCATACTGGAAGCAGTGCAGCCAAGAGAAATAGAATAGAAGAAATATTATACTTTAGATTGGAGGTCAGTCCTTCTTTTAGTCGAGCAGAGAAACCTTGCTGACCTTGATGGCTCATCACTGAGAACATGGTGTGGACATATTTGGGACCCTGACTGACCTGGTCCTAGAAAGTGAGTCATCACTTCCATTTGAGACTTAATTCGTCATCTTACTCAAACATGATTAACACTTCCACGTATCAAACTTTGCCATGCCAGTTTGGAGAACTTGACCATACCCCTAGAACAAAGAAGCCAGGCTCTCGCAAGTCCACACAAATTCTTCCTCTTCTGTATGAATGGACAAAATTCAAACATAACCCAAAATGTTGTCGTCATCCCAGACGAAGCTGTTGTCGCTGCGGAGAGGCAAACAAATCGAATTTGCAACGAGCATTTTCCAGTCTAGTATTTGGGTCCATATAGTGAAGCTGGTGGGATGAATGTCCTCTAATGTACACACCAGCGCACACCGACGCCAGGTGAACATATGCATGAGAAGACAGAGAGAGACACTATAGCAATGTCACAGATGGCGGGACCTACCGCCATGTGTTCTCCGCGCTCAATGTCAAACCTGCTGCTCAGCAATCAATCATTCTCCTATAACATTAAGGACAAGTGTGTGTGCAAATTGTGTGTATGTGTGTGTGTCAATGTGTGTGTGTGGGGTGCTGGGGGGGGGGGCGTTGGTGCGGAAAATGCATCTTTGCCTTATCTCATGACAACAGAAACAATCAATAAACTAACAGATACTCACAAGTGTGCACACAAACACATATAGTCTATATCCCTCTTATCAGACCATCTCTTTATTTTGTCTTGACTCTGTCCCTCCATTCTCATCGCTTCCCTCTCAGTCTCATCTTCCCGTCTCATCCGCTCCCTTCACGATGCCGCGCTCGCCTCGAGTTTGACGTGGGCACATATGGACTGGGATGATTGCAATTTACGCTGCGCACAGTGTGTAGTAAAATTGAATTTGCTTTGAACTGATTTTCTTTGACACCGCAAATCTGTTCTGTTTTGGGGGGTGAGCCTGCCTGCTTGGAAGCCGAGTGGAGACCCCCACCTTCCGATCAAAGATGAGTTTAGTCTCTGTCTCTCGCCGTGTGAGTCATCTCAGGGCTGCTGATTCTAATTATGTTATGGAGACGATGGATGAGATCAGATGTGTGTGTGTGTGTGTGTGTGTGTGTGTGTGTGTGTGTGTGTGTGTGTGTGATCTTATATGTGTGTGTGTGTGTGTGTGTGTGTGTGTGTGTGTGTGTGTGTGTGTGTGTGTGTGTGTGTGTGTGTGTGTGTGATTTTTTTGCAGAGCTGTATGTCATTTGGAAAGGGTGGTCTCCGAAAGTGATGAACAAAAATGTGGTCCCCATAAAACATATAAACGCATGTGTGTGTGTGTGTGTGTGTGTGTGTGTGTGTGTGTGTGTGTGTGTGTGTGTGTGTGTGTGTGTTGTGTGTGTGTGTGTGTGTGTGTGTGTGTGTGTGTGTGTGTGTGTGTGTGTTCTCATGCGTGTGCATGTGTGTGTATATGGGGGCTACATGTTCTTGTCCGTGTGTGAGGACCGTGCCTGTCCTCCTAGCAAACCCTCCGATTCAAGCAGACATAAATGCTATTGATTGTAACTGGTCTGTGACGTGTGGGATATAAAAAGCTTTTCCACCGTTCCACGGTGTAGCAGAGCGAAAACAGAGAAGGCAAGGGGAGGAGAGTGGAAAAAGAGAAGGCAAAGATAAAGAGACAGAGTGGGCTATTGAGTGTGTCCGGTAAAAGGGAGGAGAGAAGGAGGCGAGAAGACGTCAGACGAGCGAGACGAGCTAACAGTCGCTACTGCGAACTTGGATTCCATTGAGAGGAGAAATGAAGGTCATCGATTGTTGTCTTAATATTAGCGATGGCGCGCACCGGCGTGGATGCAAACACGCGCAGAGCTACGCGGGCACATAAATGTCACCGTCTCCGTTCGCTGAGCTCCTTTCCATCTGATGGGATTATGTGTAATCTGTTCTAATCGCGCCTCATGTCATGTATAAATGGGATTATATCTAACTGCCTGTCAATAACACCAATACGACTGCTGCTGCTGCTGCTGCTGCTGCTGCGGCTGCTGGGAAGCTGAGGCGATACGGCTGCACAACCAATCAATGAGAAATCCATCCGCAACATAAACTGCGCTGCCGGCCTCAGGCTGCTCCTGAGAGGAGTCCTTCAGCTCGCACAATGGGAGCACAGAGGTATGACCTCAGGCTCTCAGTGGCATCAGTAATCACAAATGGGGCCATGAGGTGACTGCTGCACTTACTTGACTTTTTCCTCTACTACTTCTTCTCTCCCATCATGCCCTCTCTCTGTTTTACTATAATAAACAGACACCATAACCAGTGGTGGGAAGTAACTGAGTACAACTACTTCATGACGGCTTTTTCAAATTTCCGTACTTTTATTGATGTATTTATGTTTTTGCCTACATGTGAAAATAGTTCTAATCTGTCAAAAGAGGCTTTTACTTTCATCAACCAAAGCAAAGATGCGCCTCTGTTAAAGTTGCAAATTAGAGGAAGAATGATGAAAACGTGTGATTCAGTTCTACATTTTTTAAAAAAATGTCTAAGCTTCAAGGAGTGACTAAATATATGAACCAAGCATTAAAAAAAGTGCATAATTTCTGTTGACCTTGGCGGGGTGGAACACTTTCATGACAAGTACATCACACTAGTGGACGTTGGAACCAACCTCATCATCTATGTAATGGTAATTATTAAACTGTGGGATGCTGTAGCGCTATATAAAAGCAAACGGATTTGCAGCAATATCCCGCCTCCGTTGTCTTGTGTGTAAAAGGCCGAAGCTTCTTGACATATTTTGGTTACAGCTCTGAAGAGACTAGTTTGCAAGATCTGCTGTAAAACAGACTTATGTTTTGGTCCCTCCCAAAAGTTTTTGAGGGGGCTGAGGTGTAAGCTCATCTGCAATTAAACTGTTCCCACAAAGATGGGAGCAACAAAATGCCCAAGATATCTTGTTATGATTAAGGTCTTGGAATTAGATAGATTTAAATATTCCGTCCATCCATCTATCCATCCATCCATCCATCCATCATTATACTCTTTACTCTTCACTTCAGTCGGTCAAATACATTTTTGAGGAGGAAATCTGTCTACATTAAAAAAAAAAAAAATCCGATATAAAAACAATTATTCCCATCTGTATAGTGAATGCGTGAAGACAAACTAGCCAAAAAAAAGGGGGTGGGGGGGTGGGTGGGAAGCAAGCCTCAGACTGTGTGCAATGTCTGCAAATTGCACACATTCAACTTTGTGGATTTTATTCACACAAATTTGGTCGGTCAAATGCACCGTATATAGCACGGTATATCAAAAGCCTTTACAGTCTTGAAAACATGAAAATCCATCCATCCATTTTCTGGACCACTTACGCTCATTAGGGTAGTGACTGAGCTGGAGCCCATCCCAGCTGACGATGGGCGAGAGGCCAGGAAATCGTAGGGCGTATGTAGACACACAAGCAATCCCAATCAGATTCTTTAATCAACCTAACATGCACGGTTTTGGAACGGGTGAACCAATTGTCCGTCGGACATGTTATAAGCTCATCCACCACGCTGCCATTTTAAGGGGATGTTCCTATCGTCGTTTGAATGAAACATCAATTTGGTGAATTCTTCTTCGGATGGTCTCTTCCTGTTCACCATACTCTCGGAAATGAGCTACGCGGGGTTCACTGAGAACGATGAATATTCAGTTTTAGCATATAAATCCCTGTTCACACGCATGCATGCCTGTACGCAGACACACACACACACACACACACACACACACACACACACACACACACACACACA